CCCACTTTAATTCCTTTTCAACAAGCTTTTCAACAAAAACATCAAATAGTAAACATTTTACAATATTAATTACTAGCTTATCTATGTAAAAGTATAGTTAAAACATTAGTTAAACTTAACTGCATAGAAATTTAGATTTAACTATACTTTAAAATAAATAAGTTAACGGCCCTGAAACTTAAAAAATAAAAGTAAAAAACATTTAAAAAAAACAGGTTTTGAAAATGAGATAATTAATATAATACTATATAAAAGGGGTTTCAAGACTTTTGTTTCTACTTGAAGAATATTCATTAGGTTAAATAACTTATTAGACTTAAAAAAATAAAAAAATAATATAAATTTAAAAAATTGGTTTAAAAAAGTACTCGTAAATTAATGCATTAAAGCAAAATATTTTTAAACAAAAAAATGGAATACAAAGTTATTACTTTTCCAAAAGAGAGGTTCCTATTTTTTTTTTTAAGCTTTTATTTTATTTTACTCTATTAAATTTAAAAAATTAATTTATCGCATAGGTTACTTAAACAAATGTTTTGAAAAAATTAAAATTTTGAAAATTTTAAAATATTAAAAAAAAAAATTGTTGCAAACTTGTATCCATTACTTTAAACAAAAAAATATTTTTAGAGGGAAACTCAAATTCGAAAAAATCTCGTACAACTCATCTGTTTTTTTTCATAGTTTGAAAAGAAGTTTTCAAGAAAAACAAATTTGCAGTTTACAATTGAATTGAATTTTTACGTTTTTTGTCGATGTGCCCATCTTTGAAATAAGCAGCTGGGAGCAGCTGGAAAAGTAAAAAATGTTTGTTGAATTAAAAAAAAAACAATAAAAGGAATTTTAATTTAAAATGATATTCAAATTTATTTATTTAAAAAAAAAGAGAACAGCAATAACTCTGATTAAATGATATAGAACACTCAATAAAACAATATCTACATACTTCTCAATTTTTAATGGTTCAGAAACTTTTCAGCAACTTTTTATTGAAAGTTTATTTTTTGATAAAAATTTTCGTATTTGAAAATTTTTGAAAAAAATATGCAATGATTATATTTTGAACAAGCAATTAAAAAAACGAAATTTGATTTTTTTAAACTAACTCTTGTAAAAAACGTTGAAGAGGTACCGGAACAATTATTACACAATTAAATAATTTATTTTCCAAAAAAAAATTAAAATTTTTAATTCAAATTTTTAAATCAAAACTAAACAAAATTCAGATGCAAATTTAAATTCATATTCAAATTGAAATTTAAATAATTTTATTCCTATTTCACTTTTGAACAAAATCAAATTCAAATTCATATTAAAATCCACATTGAATTTTGAAGAGAAATTGATATGCAAAAAATCTAAGCTGCGTTTAATTTAAAAGTTTAAAAATGAAAAAAAAAATTAATTACGATTTTTTAAACTGTTAAAACAAAAAATTAACAATATAAACTGGAATATTTAAAAATTTGTATAAAAATTAGAAAATGTAAATGAAATGCTATTTTTACTGTTTTTGTTTTGGAAAAAAAAAATTAAATACTTCAAAAACGAAATTTGTTTTATCTTCGCAAAGAATTGTTCAAAATTTTTGCATAATTTTGACAGTCATAAATGAAAAAAAATCAAATTTTTTTTACTTTTTAGCTACTGTAGCTCGCGTCAAATATATTCAGTGGCAATAAGTAAAGCAATATTGTAATCATGGAAAATGTGAGGCGTAAGTTTAGCACCTTCACCCGCCCATAAGAAATAAAAATAATACTTTCCTCCTACAACAGCGAGTTCCCCTCGAGCATTGCTTGTTTTCTGTATCGACTGCTTGTACCGGATATGTCTGTCAATTTTTGAATTTAGAGCAAGCTACTCAGTTGAATTATATATGTATGTATACATATGTAGATGTGTATGTACATATTTATGTACATAACTAACTAATACATATTCAATAGAGGAGTGATATGGCCATCAAAAAAAAAACAAGCTAGCATGCTACTTTTCCTACTTTTCACAGAATTTTCTCAATGAATATGTGTGCTTAGGTTTTTTTTTATTTTTTGTAGCTGCTATTTTTCTTATTTTATTTTATTTTTTCATGTGTGTATGTAGTCATTCACAGCGTAGCAAGCCAACAAGCAGACAGACATTTTCGCTTGCGCTCGTCTATTTAGTCTGGGTTGCTTAGCTGAAAAGCTGTGCGAAGGGCAGACACGTAGTCAAGCAGCTACTCAGGCGGTAGTGAATGCGTTTATTTACATACATACATACAAGTGTAATGTGCTTATGTTTGTGTATTAACTTCAGCCAAGCAGATATGCAGACAGACATTCATAGCTGAGTGTTATTATTTGTTTAGCTCATTCTATGCTGCTACAGCCACAGCCACAGCCACAGCCACAGCCAATTCATCTGCATTGCCAATGCAGTTGCGAGTGAATATATGAGCTTGTCTGGTAGTCTACAAAAATAACAACAAAAGCTATTATGAACTCGCAACATGCACAAATATCATTTCAACTCATGAGTTTATATTTTTCTAATTTGTCATTTTTTTTCCTTCACACATGTTGCTCATTTTCATTGCGTCGCCGCGCCCAACTCAGCCTAGCACACTCAAGCCACTTTAACCTCCTTCCCCCTCCCCCTCCCCCTACCCTGCATGTAGCAATATTTTTCATCTGCCACACATGTACATATGTATGTATTTATGCGCAAGTATCAAGTTTTTTTAGTTTTTTTTTCTTTTTTGTATTTGTTCCTCTGTTGCTTTATGTGTACAATTTTCTCTTGAATTTCGTATTTGAAAAGGATGCGCTTCCGGTTCTATTTTATTTATTCACTTATTTCCATTTATTTGCGCTCTTTTCGAGCTCATTTTTCTGTCTACTGCACTAATGCTGTGAATAGAGTGCAACAAGTCAAATGAGGGGGCAATGTGCTCATGGAAAAGCGAGTTGAATAAGCTTATACAAATGTTGAAGAAATATTGAAATTTGTTTTATTTTGTTTAATAATCTAAAACAAATATAAAAAATAGAAATAAAATAAACTCGAAGTTATCGATTGGTTTAGTATGCACTTGAGGGGAATCTTAACCTTCATAACTTGGTTCTCCGCTTATTAGATATGCATATATCCATACATTAGACTGGTTCAAAAAAATCGAATATCTTTTTATATCAAAATCCCCTTCGAAATATTTTCGAAACAGTGGAAAAACGCCTGTCGAAAGCGCAGCCTGCATTATTAAGATTTCGAATTTCAATTTTCCATATAAATACAGGAAAAAAATTCTTTCAATTTTGAAACTTCGTTACTACTTTTCCAGTCAATGTATGGGAATGAACGATATATGTATGTACACATACAAATAATATGAAGAAAACTGAATGCTGTATAACAATTCAGAATTTATTTTTCCATAAATTCACTCCGCCGAAAGTTATTCAAGGTAAAAGTCGATAATTTATTTATACGGAGGAAAATGCACAACACCGTGAACAAAAAAATTGCCAAAATCAAGGGTAGCCACTTCCAACTTACACTTTGTTATAGTAGAATTTGCTAGGATATACAATTGTATACCAAGTTTTCTGAAATTTATGAAAATGTGTGAAATTTTAATGAAAATTTTTAGATTTTTTAGGCATGCAGTTTTATAGCCCATTCCATTCTCGAATAACAAAGTGCAAGTTTGAAGTCATATCAAAGTACCGTTGATTTTTGGATTTTTTTTTTTTTTTTACTGTAAAAAAATGTTCGATTTTAATCTTGAATAATTTTAGAGGAGTGAATTCATGAAAGAATCATACAAGACCGGTTTTAAAGCCTTCAATATCATTTATTCCGATACGTTCACTTAAAACCGAGATATGAAATTTCAAAATTGAGGCCAATTTTTTCCAGTTTTATTTAAATGAAAAATGGAAATTCGCGATGAGTGACCTTTGAATCTCAAGAACAAGATTCTCATACAAAACGACGCGCAAGAAATGGAAAAGAAATTTTGTTCAATCAAAAAAAAATTTACAGCAAAAGCAAAGAATGTACTTTTTCAACAAACAGTAATAAAAAAATATTTCTTGTTTTGCTCATTAATAATTCACAATAAGCAATTCATATGCAATTTCAGGTGACAGTTTTTTGCATGGTCAAATTGCCAATCGTATCGCAATTTCAGCGAATTTTTAAATACCTAATTTTTAAATAGCATTAAAAATTTTTGTGCCACAAATTTCTTCTTAAATTTTCATTTCATCTCTTCAAAGGCCTCAGTTTTAGTCTTCGCCTTTTCAGCATTGTTCAAAAATTTCCAGCAGTTGCCTATTGCAACGAAAGTCATAAATTTTCCAGTATTTTTTAACTTATGATATCAGAAACAGTATTTTGCTATGAAATAAGATTTCCTAGTACTTTTTAAACTCATAATTCTATTAATATAATTTCAGTTTACTTTTTGAGCTTTGGACATAAAGCCGGGAATTCCTAACACATTTTATTACTGGTTTTGTAAAAAAAAATTCTCAATATTTTTGTTCACGAAGTTAAAAAAATTTTTTTTTTCAACTTAAATTTTTCCCATAAAGTTCAGAATTCCCCACTTTTTAAATTTCTGTTATGGATCCATGTTTAAGTTTGAATTTTGAGTGGGCACTCGAATTTTTTCAAATTATAAATACTTTTAAGATTTCTTATATCTTCAATCCGTTTTTGGTCTTGAAATAAATTTCCCGTTTTTTTTTACATTACAGTGATTTAACTTTCGAAACTTTCGGAAAAATTTACATTCATTCTTCTAGTCTTCCATTTTGGATATATAATTTTTAATGCGGCTAATAAATTTCCCAGTAAGTTTATACAGATAAAATACTCTCAAATTGTTTTTTATTAAATATAAATTTCCTATTATTAATGATAAAAATAAATGTTTTGTTAAATATGAATATGAGGCTTAAATTGTGAGAATCGAATTCTGGACTAACGCCAGTTCGTAGACTAGCCCCTCAATCCAGGTAACCCAGCTGCCGCAGAACTGCCTCAACATTGCGCACGAGCGCGTCCTTGTATCGATATATACTTTCATCGCGTGTCAGCGCCGCCTGCGCCGCCGTCTCTTCCAGCAACCGATAGTGCTGCAGCTGTGCCTCTACCGGCTCAAAATGAAACGAATGGCAGCCCTCCAATCTCGCAATATGGTAGTGATTATGCAACGTCAGCACTTCGCTGGTATTGTGGAAGCACTTCACGGCATCATTTACTTCACCGGTACGGTTCAGCCGATGCACGTGTTGCAACAGGAACATGTGACTTTGCGCCGTCGTCGTTTCAGTGTAGTTCATCGTATTTATAGGGAAGATCGCATTCCGCACGCAGACGCTTGCATAGCCGCGCGGACAGTCTTCAGTGCGCCGACGCAGCGCCGTTTCGATCAGCTGTTGCCAGCTGATGCTGTTGCCTAACGGCATGATCACCTCATCCACATCCACCACCGCTATATAGGCGTACTTGTACATGTTGCGGTAGAAGCAGTCGTTATAGGGCACCAACTCATTCAGCCGCTTGTTGGCGATATCCGAGTGCAGATAGTCGTGCAAGTAATGCGGTAGGTCAGCCATCTCTGAACCTAAACTCAGCGGCAGCAGCTCGACGAATCCCTCTGCCACGTAGTGCTGCAGCACTCGCGCCAAATTCGGATGCAGCACCAGCTTGTAGGTGATGACTTTGCGTGCGCCAAGCAGCCGCTGTAACTCCAGCCATTCCACCAGCCGCGGACCCATATCGTCATACAGGTAATCCAGCCCCTTCACGCACACAGCAAACCCGTGCTGGGTCTCATTGGCGGCTGGATGTTCGTAGAGCACACGTAGCATATTCGACGCGGTGTCACAAAAGCGCGCCACCAGGGAGACAGCGCGGGGCGGTGTCTGACGCAACGGCAACGGCGGAACGCAGCTGAGCAAGTAGGGATAGTAGTCGCCATATGTACCCCATTCTAGGAACCAAATCAGACGCTGCTCCACCACAGGCACAATCACCGGCACGCTGAGTGTATCGTACCACAACTGGCAGTAGCTTGGATGGGACGGCGCTGGCACCTCGTTGGCCATGGCGAGCACGCGCACCACAGCACCGCGCTGCATTGCATACGCACGCACATCAAAATATGCGTTGAAGAGGTGGTATGTGACGTTGCGATTGTGGAATACCTGCCAGTAGTTGTTGTGGAAGCGCAACGAGTGCATGGGCGGTACCTGGGCGCAGGAGTCATTCAGTTGCTTGAGCGATAGGCGTTGCCAATGTTCAAAGGGCACATTGGGAAATTCCTGCGCGTGCAATCGAATGATCTCCTCTCGACTGGGAGCTGCTGGAAAGTAGAGGGATAGCGAAATTTTTACTGTAATGAATGAGCAGCAAGCCAAAACCTAACTTACTTGCAGCAGCGAACGATGAGTTAATGCGATTGCTGTCGCTTGCGGTGGCATAATCTCGCATCGATATACTGTAAATCAGAAATATGACAACCAGTAGGGCGAACCAGATAGCCAACGCCAACAATCGCTTGAGTTTTTGCTGGTTGGCCGACATCACCAGTGTTATTTATACTCTAGCGTATAAACAATAAACTAATTAGAACCAATGGATTGAAATTTGGATTATCCAATTTATTTTCGCGAATCTACTACTGCGCCGCTTCGCAGTATAGCAGCTACTATTTAGTAGAGCTGGCACTGCTTTCCGTAACATAACGTATTTAGTTTATCTGCGTAATTGTCTGCAGAGTCGCTTGGGCTTTTTAATCAGTTAGATAAAGCAGTTATTCAAAAGAGCTATAGTTTAAAGGGTGTTTCGTGAGGCTAGTAAACGGAGAATTCGTGTGGAATTCAAGCAAGCTCTTTTGAAAAATCCTATAGGAAAAAACTTTGCTCTTTTGTGTTATATTAAATGAATCGTTTAAAACGATTTCGGAGTCCAAAAATCGAGTTTTTGGTACTAAACATAGAAGGGACTAAATTTTGGTCTTAAGAGAAGCTTAGAATGCAATGCGGAGTTACGAGACTCGTACCAGTTTTCTTTAGATGCTGTCTGCTGTTTAATCCATAAATGATTATAGATTAATTAATATCTTTTGCGTTTCGAGATTAAACTCTTTGGAATATTTTCTTTAAAAAAGAAGTTAACAGCGTCCTTCTATTAAAAAAATTTTGAATTTTTCTTTGTTTTTAAATAGGAAAAAAATTGTGAAAAATGGAAAAAATTATGGTATTTGTGTATTTTTAAACTGAGCCGCAAATCAAATTTTTTTTTTTTACTTAAGAAAAAATGATAATGCCTTTCATTGACGCAACTTCACAAACAGCTTTTGTGCTACAAAAATGTTTGCCCTTTTCCCTTTTTTTTGTAAAGAAAAAATAATATGCATAAATTGTATTAACTTTAGTTGAGTTCAAAGGTCGCACAATTTTGAATTCCGGCATTTACCACAACTAAAGGAAATAAAATTTACAATTTGATGGTCAAAAATAAAACAACTAAAAAATAATAGATGTACTCGTAATAATAAAATTAAACAACTAATTTTTTTGAAAACAAACACCTTAATGGATTCTTTATATTGCATTTTAATCAATTTGTTGAGCTTTTTTAAAGAATGACACTCAAAATCATAAAAATATACAGAATCAAAATTTTTAAATATATTTTATTTTTTATGAAGAAGGTTAAAAAACTTTACAACATAATTCTGCGCTAGTAAATGAATGATGAATCTTATTTTTTTTTTTTAACATTATGGCGAAAATAAAATTATTAAACAATTTTTAGTCTTTTTTGGGGTTCCCAAAATGGAATGCTGAAAGTTTTTTGTGAGAAAGAAAAAAGTACCTAGCTCATTTTCTTAAATATATTTTAAAATTAGATTAATTTTCTACTTAAATTTTTGTTTATTTCTTATTTATTTATTTATTATTTCTATAAAAATGCATAAATTTGTTTCCAAAAAAATATAGATTTTATTTTTGAACGAAGAAAATATTTGATATACACATAAAATTTTTCTCTAATTAAAAAAAAAAATAAAAAATTATGCATAAAATTTTTTATTGATACATTTTGGTATTAACCTAAGTGAATAATTTATTATTATTATTTTTAAGAAATTTACGCAAACAAAAAATTTTCTCTTGGATTTTTTAATAACATTAATGTACCTAGCTATTAATTTTTATTAAAAACGTTTTCTTTTGAATGCAATTTTACTTTCAGAGACCGCATGGAGTAATCAATTTTAGTAAACAATAAACTTTAAATACTTCGAGTAATTTGCCTTTATATTTTTTAAGACAAAACTAAAAAAAAATTTGCCTGATATTTAAAATTTCAAAAGGTTTAAAAAAATGCGAGAAATTCCGAAACCTCCGAATATATTTCAAAAAAAAAAACACACAAGAATCTCCTAAAATCTGGAAAAGAATAAGAAAAAAAATATTTTCTATAATTTTCTACTCGAATATGGCCCCTAGACATTTGCACCTACTTTACAGTCTCTCGATAGTCTTGGCATCTTGGGTTTTTATTTCTCTGATTAAAAGAGCTAACAAGCTAATATTTGAGGCTTTGAAAAATTGTGAAAAGACATCATTTCATTCGTGCACCCTTATGCAATTTACAACCAGCTCATGAAATAATTTGTGAATTTTATGTTATTTTCAAATTCTCACTTTTCATTACTTCATGAAAAATGGTGTACCACCTACCCATGGCGGACTTCTTAGTCAATGCTGACGAAATCACTCTCTTTAATATTCAATTCCCATGAATAAATAGTCACAAAGTCTTTGGTTAATCGATGTTCTATATATTCAATAGCTGATCGTAGCAGCAAAAACATATTTCTCTTTTATTTGCTTACCTCTTTTGTTTTACTTCCTTTTAAATTTTTGTTTTTGATTACCTAACAGCCACATCGCCGCCTTTTTCCCATATTCATCACGATCTTCATGGCAATTGAAAGTACAATCTAATGTTGATCATCCACTTGGCCTAATCACTTTGTTTGTCTGGCTTGATTTATGGCCAAAAGCGAGGATCAAAATAAAAGCTGCAATGCTTGCCGCCGGCAATGCTACAATTAATTTGGTTTTGTTGTTGTTGCTGCTGTATTTATTCCGACTCATTCACTTTCTACTAGTTGCTAGTTTTGTTTACCATTTTTTTCTGATTTGATTTGGCACCGTTAATTAAAGAAGTAGCGTAGACAGACAATCGTTCATTCATTAGCTATTTGACAGTCTAGCATTCCGAAGTAAATGTTGCACTTTTTTACGGTTTTTATCTCTTTTGATTATCGAATAGTGTGTTTGGAGGAAATTTGTGAATGTTTTACTTAACCAGTTCCTCTTTTTTATCTGCTTCTTTTATTATCTCAAGCCGTCAATTAATTTGTTCATTTTTTCTTTTTTTTTTTCTTTTTTTTTGCGGTTTGCCTATCAATCGCGTTGGCTCTTTGAGTTTGAGTCACAAAAATTACGCAATTAACTGGTACTAACTGGAGCGTTTTTAGAAATAAAGTGTTTACGTTTATTTTTTGCTCTAACTATTATATTATATTATAGTTATAATAAAGGAAAATTTTGTATTGCTATTTAAATCATTATACATAGTTATCGATAATTTTGTTATTGTCAAAGCCATTGTAATTTTCGAAACCCATACCATTGTTGTTATAATAGGTGAATTTTTATCGATAATTTTGATTTCTAATCAATTTCAATATAGTTATCGAAAATTTGTTATAATTATCGGTTTCATTATAAATAGTTGTTTAAATACATAATGTTTGTAATGATTGTTATCGATTTTTTTATCGATATCGATTTATGTTGTCGAGAATTTTGTATTTTTACTGATTTTAGCTCTTGAGATATTTTTGTTCTTATAGATATTATAAAATTTATCGAGATTTTATTTTTTATTTGAAATTAAATGTACTTATAAATCGCTTTATAAATTTAATTTCGATAAATGTGGTTTTTTAGATTTTTGTATTAGTTGAGAATTGTCATCAGCGAAATAGCAATGAGTACCAATATCATTTTTACTTTTGGTATTGATATTCTTAAAATTATCACTATTGGATTTATATACAGACTGTCATTCTTGTCTCAATTTTTTTAAGGTTTTCATAATCATTTGTTAAGTTTCTTTTTTTATGAAACGATTCTAAATTGAATTTAGTGAAACTATACAAAATAATGCTAATTTCTTCAAAGAATTAATGGATATGAAAAATATAAGCTATAAATACAGTGGCGAAAATATAAATAGGGAATAGACATTTTAGCATTCTTTTCCATTCCCTTTTCGATGACTTAATTTATGTTTCATTAAAATTTTAAGCTTTTTAATTAGAAACATTATGAGTATGCAGGTTTGTTTGTAGCTCATTCAAATTTAGTGCAAATTTTAAGTGCTTGGCCTTATCGTTGATTTTTGGAATTTTTTTGAAGGTGCTGCACATTTTCTCCATACAAAAAAAATTGCCAAAACAACGTAAGCGACATTTTTTCCAAAATTTTCTTTTTGATGATATTCCTCGAGCATCTAGATGCATTTCTGCATCAAAAAGAAAATTTTGAAAAAAATGTCGCTTACGTTGTTTTGGCGGTTAGAGCTCGTATGCTTTGTATGGACCAAAATGCGCGAACAAAAAATTGTCAAAAATCAACGGTAAGTCCAAACTCCTTCAAACTTGCACTATATTATAATAATAATAATAAATCTGATTTAAATGTTTAAAATTTTGATCAACATTTGTACATTTGTTCTACAAAGGTGATTGTGGGAAATACCCGAGGACACAAGTCGGAAAAGAAAACCATGAAAACCAATGCTAAGCAGAAATTAAATTCCGCTAGCAAACAAACAGACATAAAATATGATATGAAAAAATTTAGGCAGTGAGCAAGTAAATGGTATACAGAGAGCTAATGAAAGCGCTCATTATGCCACTGAGGCCAGAAGAGAAACTGATGCTGAAAGTAAAAGTGACTAAAAAGTGAAATAAAACTTTATTCAGACCATCTACATACATAGATGGCAGCCAAACCACTTTTGTGTTAACCCATTAAAGGCCAACAGCGGTGGAAAATTGAGGAACTTAGCTAACTTTTAGAAAGTATTAATGCATTTATATTCCTGTGTAATCGAAAGCTACTCCTTTTGAATCTTAGTGCTCTTAAAGCAAACATAGCAGACAGAAAGCGTCATACTTTGCTTGCAAGGAATTTCGTTTGTTATTTTTGATGCTGTTTTCATAACACAGCCTTCAAAGGCATTTGGAATAAAGGCTCTCTATGAAATTTATACAAAAATAGGCTACCGAGCGAAGAAAGGAGGCTATCAGTGCTCACTCATTTCCCTTGAGTGTTTCAGCTCTGCTGCTATTCCTACGCCAATGAACACACAGACAAACCAAAAAAAAAACGATAAAGGAT